GAGTGGGGGCGGCAAACCGGTGCGTTCGCGTCGTATCTGCCATCCCAACTGCGCTGTTTTTTCTCCTATATGCGCCGACGCGTGTCATGGCGGACCTGGAACTCCGAAGACGACCCCATCGTGTTACGCGCAATCGAAAAAAGTAGGAGCCGCGTACAGTGGATGAGGAGTTGGTTGACGAGCAGGAGGAAAAGGAGGATGAGGAAGGAGGAGGACGAGGACGAACAGCATCAGCAGGAGCTGGAGTGGAAGAGGCGGGAGGAGCAGGAGGACCAGGACAAGGCGGAGGAGGGGAGATGTGGGGGGCGACAACGATGAAATATGACTCAGGTTCAGAAAGCGGCCTGCGCTTGTGCGAGAGCGCCATTCTGAACGACGGGAGCAAAGTGCCGAGCCGAAAATGAGGCCCATGCTGCAGCTGGAGCACCATTTTGAAAGACCGAAAACAAACGGAAATGCAAAGCACCCAAAGGAAAACTACATATTTTGAAATCGAGTGTAGAAACGTAGCGTGGAGAGGGCTGACCATCTTCCAGCCATCTTCCAGACAGAGTCAGGGGAGAGCGGAGAGCGGTATCCATAATGTGTAAGTGTCGAGCGAGAGGGAGAGAAAGAGAGAGAGAGAGAGAGACATATATGCATGTACATGTATATGCATGCACGTTTGTATGTATGTCTGTACGTATGCATGTACGTATGTATGCATATAGGTATGCATATTTGCATGTATGTATATGAATGTATGTAGGTGTGTATGTATGTATGCATGCATGTATGTATGTATGTATGTATGTGTGTATGTATGTATGTGGGCGTCTGTATGTGTGTATGTATACATGTCTGTACTTACGAAAGTACGTACGCATGATTGTATGTATGCATACGTGTATGTATTCGTGCATGCATGTCTGTACATCTGTTTATGTAGACGTATGCATGTATGCATGCCTGTATTTATATGTGCACGTGTGTATGCATGCATGTATGTATGCATGCATGCATGCATGCATGCATGCATGCATGTATGTATGTATGTATGTATGTATATATGTATGCATTTATGTATGTATGTGTGTGCATGCATGCAGCTATATATGCACATGTATGCATGCATGCATGTATGTATGCATGCTTGTATGTATGCGTGCACATATGTAAGTATGCAGGTATCTATGCGTGTGCGTATGCATGCATGCATGTATGCAGTTACACGTGTGTATACGTACGCATGTATGAGTCTGTGTACGTATGTATGCATGCATGCATACATTCACGTATGCATGCATGCACGAATCTATGTATGTACATATGTATGCGTGTATCATGCATGCATGCATGTATGCATGCATGTATGCATGCATGTATGCATGCATGCGTGCATTTACGTATGCATGTATGTGTTTGCGTATGTATGTATGCATGTATGCAGGTATTGGTTACGTAGGTATATGCATATATACCTAAATACGTGTATGCATGTATATCTGCATGCACGTATGTACATACGCATGCATGTATGTATGCGAAGTTGTTTATCTGATTGCATGCACACACACATATATACGTATATATATATATATATATATATATATATATATATATGCGTGCATTTATGTATGTGTGCATGTATGCATGCATGCATGTATGTATGTATGTATGTACGAATACACATATATATATATATGTGTTCATGTAGGTATGCATGCACTTACGCGCGTACGTACGTATGCATGTATGTACGTATGTTTATATGTACATATGTATATGTATGTGCATGTGTGTATGTATGTGTGTATGTATGCACGCATGTATGTATAGCTATCCGTACGTATGTATGTGTGCATGTTGGTATGTATGTATGCATGTATGTATGTATGTATATACATATGCATATATGTATGTACGTACGCATGTATGTATGTATGTATGCATGCATCCATGTATGTATGTATGTCAGTATGTATGTATGTATGTATGTATGTATGTATATACATATATGTAAGTATTCCCTACCTAGGCTCTACCTAGAGGGTTCTTGCTCTCTTTCTTAAAGGGGCCGGGCAGTGCACACCGCCCCGGGCGGTTCCCCCAGTATCCGTCCCGCGGTTCCCCCAGTTACGTCCCCTTAGCTTAGCGTTGCTGATCTCATCTTAGTTTAGCTTAGCTTAGCTCAGCTCAGCTTAGTTTAATATTAGCTTCGCGTAGCTGTAGTTTAGCTTAGCTTAGCATATCATAGCATAGCCCAGCGTAGCATAGCATACTGCAGCATAACATAGCATAACATAGCATAGCGCAGCATAGCACAGCATAGCATAGCATAGCGCAGCACATCATAGCATACCATTGCCTAGCATAACATAAGCGCAGCCTAGCGTAGCATAGCATAGCGCAGCATAGCGCAACATAGCATAGCATAACATATCATAGCATAGCATAGCATAGTGCAACATAGCATAGCATAGCATAGCATAGCAGCAAATCAAAGACAAAACCACAACAGCAACGGCAAAGCAAAGCACAAGCAACGCAGAGCAAAGCAAAGCAAAGCAAAAGCAAAAGCAAAGCAAAAACAACGCAAAGGAAAGGAACGGCACAGCAAAAGCAATGTGCAACAGTACGATCAGAGAGCCCACCCAGTGAGCGAATGCAAAAACATGCGTGTGTGTGTGCGAAGGCAAAGCAAAAACAGAACCAAGCAAAAGCAAAAACAAGCAAAAGCAAAGGCAACTACGACGATGAGGAGAAGGAGGAGGACGGCGTTTACCGTTACTACTAATGCTGCTTTCCTAGGGGCTCCAACTCCTAGGTAGGCTCGCACTGGGGTAATTTGTAGACATGTACATCTTAATGCATACACTCATGCATGCATACATTCATGTATGTATGCGTCATGCATGCATGCATGTACATGGTGGCATTCGTACATGTACAGTGTGTATTTTAGGTCGAAATATGTACATCACATTGTGGAGATTCTGGTCCCGGGGCCCCAGACCGCTGCCTCCCTTGTCCAGGTTCCCCCCCCCCCCTGGCGGATATCCCGAACGCCCCCCCGGGTTCCGCGAAGGCCTGGGAGATCTCCAGGATCACCCAAGATGCTCTAGAGACGGGCCAAGCGATCTCTGGGACACTCCCAAGACAGCTCAAGACTCTTCCAAGACGACCCCAGACGGCCTCGCGACGGCCCAAGAGGCCCCCAAGATGGCCCAACTGAGCCATCATGGGCTTTCCTGGAGGCCCTCCAGAACCAAATATCTTCAAAGGCAAAAACCTACGGCAAGTCAGTGCTGTTGGACTTCTCCCCGATGCGCTTCCGATGCACTTCCGAGGCGTCAACCTGGCCCCCAAGACGCCCCAGTGATTCACCCACGAGGTGCCCAGCCCCGCCCCAGAACGCCCCAAGGGGCCCCAAGAGGCCCCCTATGACGCCCCGAGGGCTTCCCACGGGGCTTTCGAAGACGCCCCCAAGATGCACCCCAAAGCCCCCAGGAGCCCACCAAGCGCCCCCCAAAAGGCCCCCAAGGGGCTACAACAGACAGACAGAAGACCGACAACGACGCAACCCAGACGGACTGTGTCAAGGGCTTGCTGTTCGCGCAGGGTTCGGCATGCGATGGGCCTGCCACGCTGGGAATGTCTCGCCCTGCCGAGGCTCCCGAGGCGCCCGCGGCGGTTGATTCCGTCACGAAGGACCCCATGACCACGGCGAAGGACATGACGGCTAAAGCCAAGGCCGGCTCCGCAGACTTCCCGAGGGACACGAGGGTCCTCGTCGGGTCGATGCGCTTCTCGAGCGAGGCGCCCATCTCCAACCACGCCCTGTTCAAGTACCATCGCCTCGGCATGCTGCTCATCATTGAGGGTGACCGTTGGCGGGCGCGCTCGAAGGAGCGCATCTACCACGCGGGCTGGTGCTGGGATCAGGTGGAGGTGTTCGACATCAAGGGCTGGGAGTACCTCGCGGCGCCAGAGGACATGTTTATTCAGATTGGTGGCGCACGCGAGGAAGACCACGATTGCCCCGAATGGAAGTGGGGCGCCCTCCAGGGCATCGTCAACTAGACGCTGCGCCAGATTGCCGAGACGCTCGCCTCCCTCTGCAACGACGCGAAGAAGCATTCAGGCGTCCTCGAGAAGGCGACCGACAACAAAGGTCGGAAGGCCAATTGGGCCTTGGAAGTTGTGAACGCGATGCGCACGTTCAAGGCAGCGGTTGACAAGCGCGCCGCGCGCGCCCCCCTAACCGCGCACTTCTAGAAGATGTGCGACACGCCGAAGCCGAGGTCCCAGGGCGTTCGCCGACTGCTACCTCGACTCGAACTGGGACGCAGCCGCGCCGAAGCCTGACAACAATTGCTACATGCGCGTGCCCTCCCAGTTCTGGTGGTCAGAGACAGATATCGAGGAGGCGTGGGTCGACGTCGCGGACTGGGACGGGCGGCTGACGGTGTTCTTGCAGGGGTTGCGCTACTAAAGCGAGCCCGTCTTCCATCTCAAGCTTGCTTGCGTCTAGACAGCTGGGCGCCGGGGGGCAGTGCTGCTGGTCAGTCCGATGCGCGGCGTCGGGCAGCGTTGCTTTTCGAACGCTTGTTTGAATGGGCTACGCTTTGTCTAGGTGGCCAGGGGGGGGCCTGGTGTAATTCGCAATGCGCTGTAGGTCGACTCGATTCGCAGTGATGGGGCGCCGGGACATGCCTACTGGGGATATTGGCTGTCGCCGTGACCGTCTGCGGGGTCTTTTGGTTGCA